TTTTTTTTTTTTTTTTTTTTTTTTTTTTTTTTTTTTTTTTTTTTTTTTTTTTTTTTTTTTTTTTTTGTCTTCTCATCTGACAATGAAAAGTTTGTTTCATGTCCCAAAAGAGAGATGTTGAAATTTCATGTATAGAGGTCAAAGTACCAAAAATAGAATGAATTTGGAAATAGAGAATCAAAGAATTTTTTTTATAGGAAAAAAAGAAGCAGCAGAAGATGACCTTGGAAAGACTTGTTATTGTAGACCTCAACAAAGAATCTCCAACTATCAGTCTCAGCTGTCTTACAAAATCATCACGATTCATCTTCTTGGCCTAGAAAACAGCATCAAGATAAATAACATGAAAAGAGAGAAAACGAAGTATGACATAAAATTCGAATTTCAAATTACCCTGAATTGTTCGTATTGCACACTAATAGATTCCATGTCTTTGGAAGAAACTTTATTAGAGATAGCAGCAAACAACATGGAGAAAGGCATCCATGGAGACTTGGGCGTTTTCATAGAGTTGGAACCCACACTAACTGCTCGGCCGTGAGGTCTCAAAATATCTGAAGGTTGGCCATCGCTAACCTAAAAGATAGTTTAATATTTGCAAGTAAAGCCACGTGCTAAAAGATCAAATATAAATAAAGTTCTCATACTTTGACACAGCTCACCAAATGCCATCTTCAGGAAAACAAGAAACATGAACCACAGCCCATGTTTCAAACCTTCATATTCATAATGAATGGCTGCAATGCTATAGACATAAATCAATTGATAAATTTGGAGGCTTACCGCATTAACTACTGAAGACTCCAACTGTATTTGGTCAGGAGACCCTTGACGAGATGCAGTGATCACCGAAACATCATTAGTATGGCATTCAACTGCATGCATTGACTAGCATCAATAAGTGCTCAGAATACCATTCCATGTATTCATTAGATTCCTACTAGTTCAAATAAAATTAAAAAAAAAAATGTAATCAACAATATCATTTCCAGCCATCAGTACAGTAACATCTCTAAGAAAAATATGTTGGTTCCTACTAGTTCAACTAAAATTGAGTCACTATTAGATTCCTACTAGTTCAAATAAGAATTGAGTCACTTTCTCCTCCCAACAAACAGTGAAACCAGGGAAGATGGTCACCTTTGGGACTGGGAGCAACCTTAAAGCTGACAACAGATTCTGGATAGATGTGAGTACACATATTCATTCTCCATACAACGTAATATGTTGGTTCTTTAAGGTTGTCCACTCCACAGTCAAAATCCTTGCTACTTGGATGGAATTGTCTGCTTCCAGGGTGAAGAAGTTCCAAGTTTCCCAATATTACACGGCAAAATACTAGATGCTGCACTCCATTGTCATCAATATCGCAATGACTTGCACTGTAAATAAACAAAAGATCAAATCTTCTGAAAGCAATATGGTATGCATTTACCAAGCATAGGACAAATTGTAACATGAGAAATACCAGTCAACATAGATACATTATTTGAAATTGTCGTGCAAGATGAACAATAAGCAAAACATGTAGGGCAGGTGGATGAATAATAAGACAAAAGTTTACTGAGTTGGAAGAGTTATATATATTTCTAGTCCACTAAACCAAAGTAATAGTCATTCAGAAACCAATTCTCTCGGCCACCAATTGACAAAAATCACTTGAAAACACTTTTCAAGAAACCGGAAATCACTGTGCACAAATGATAAAATCAC